ACTATTAAACTTACAAGATTGTTCACTGTCTATAGCCGGGTACCCATTTCCACCTGGGTGAAGTGAGGAAAATTTGTGCAAAGTGCCTTTCCCAAGGACACAATGTCGAGCCCTTGACGGGATTCGAACCCACGACCTTATGGTTGCGAGTCCGAGAGCCTAACCACTAGGCCACCGACGCCACTATGATCAAAGCCGTGTTTATGTTTACAGTTTACTGTACAATTAATTGTATACAATTTCGAATAGACTGACAAAGGACATATCTGATGCTTCGAAATTGTTGATAGCATTCAAAACATCGGATATTTGACCCTGGGGATGGGAGCAGTTGTTATTGTAGCTTGTGACGTCATTGTTGTACTTCAAGTTGCTGTTGTTGTCGTTGCGCGTGATGTCATTGTTGTACTTCATGTTGCTGTTGTTGTCGTTGCGCGTGACGTCATTGTTGTACTTCATGTTGCTGTTGTTGTCGTTGCGCGTGACGTCATTGTTGTACTTCATGTTGTTGTTGTTGTCGTTGCGCGTGACGTCATTGTTGTACTTCATGTTGTTGTTGTTGTCGTTGCGCGTGACGTCATTGTTGTACTTCATGTTGCTGTTGCTGTCGTTGGTGTTGCTTCCTGTGATATTCTTGCTGGGTTCTTTTTTCTGTTTTGTTTTCGTTGTTGTTGTTATGTTATATCTTGAATTGTATAGGCCTATAAAACTTAAGTTTTCATCTGTTTTCGTTCTGGGTGAATCAGCGAGCAAATATCCGGAAGACAATTTCCAAACTAATACATAACATTTCAATTTTTGTCCTTTTGTGGTTTTACAACAAGTATTTTCGTTTCAATGTCGCTCTATTAAAGCATCTGCAAATTTCTCGAGTCATTCTAACAATAAATTGTTTTATTTTTACGGAGAACAATTGTAAAACGTGTTTTAGTCCGAGTCGACAAGCAAAATTGAAGATTATGGAGTCGGTGGCCTAGTGGTTAGGCTCTCGGACTCGCAACCGTAAGGTTGTGGGTTCGAATCCCGTCAGGGGCCCAACGTTGTGTCCTTGGGAAAGGCACTTTACACGAATTTTCCTCACTCCATCCAGGTGAGAATGGGTACCCGGCTACAGGCAGATAAAGATCCTGTCAGTTTGTTAGTGTTTGAGCGCTTAATCTGTTGCTTGCACTGTATGCTTCCCGGGAAGCTGAAAATGTGCTGTTGAGCGGGGATATGCGCTATATAAATGCTATTTATTATTATTATTATTAAGATTCTTGTAGTTCCCTCTTTCTAAATGTTTGTAAAGATGATATTTCACACAGAAATTCAAATAAAAGTGTATGTCTCTCAATTCGGTGAAATCAGGCGATCGGCAATTATGGGGCATATTATGGAGTTACTGGTATACTCTATCTAAAATCTTGTCCATTTTGCCTTGGTAATGGTGAAAATATACCAATCTATCTTGAATAGAAATACAGATATTTGCCTGGTGTCAGGGGTAATATTAGCGAGAAAATTACAGACAAAGTTTATTGACATCCCAAGCTTAAGTGTCCTCTGAACAACAAGTTTACATTTTCTTGTGTGTGCCTCTGATCAACGTTTTCCATTAAAAACCACGTAGAAATGTGTTTTTAAATTGACAAAAAAAAGGTGCTGGGCTAGAAAAAAATGCATGAAAATTGCCGCAAGAATAAAAAACATGCGGCTCTCTAAAATTTCATTATTTTGACGTTCACCTGATTTCACCACGATGCAATAAAGAAAAATTAAAGAGAACTTGTGTGATACTCCTACACTTCACCTGCCTCAATATATAGCCCTCGAACATCTGTCTCATTTCAGATGAAAAATAGGTGGCAAAAGAAACAGGGGTTGACCAAAAATAGCTTACCTAGATAGCCACAATTTTTCCGTAGTAATTGGAAGGACAAGGAATACCAATTATAGTTACTTTGAGATCCAAGCACTAAGCACTGCTCCACGAGCATTTCACAGATCTGGCACACGAAGAAGAAGAAGAAGAAGAAGAAGAAGAAGAAGAAGAAGAAGAAGAAGAAGAAGAAGAAGG